ATCAGATTATTCAGAAGTCGTTCCAAAGCGAAAATGCTCAGAATTTGCTCTCGATGGATCTCTTAGACTGCTACGAATGGGTCCAGGATTTTTTTTTTAAATATCTGCATGATAGCCATCGTTTACGTTGTGAGCAACGGATTCCCCGAATGTGTTCGACTTCTTATTTCGTAGAAGTTTATCGGATTTTTTAGAAGCTCAGTGGACTTTGTACGTACTTAGCGAACTTAAGAAATCCGGGGAAATTCATTAAAGCTTAGGGATTTTCCTTTAACTTCAAGGAACTTTGTAAAATTTCAGGGGCTACGTAAAAGTTCAGGAAACTTCGTAAAATTTTAGGAAACTTCGTAGAAATTCAGAAAATTTGGCAAATATCGTAGAAATTTTGGCAACTTCGTAAAGCTTCAGATAACTTCGTGTTAATTCAGGTAAATTGGTAAACATGCTGGAAACTTCGAAGTAGAGGGAATTTAGAACAAGTTTGGGGAATTTTGTAAAAGTTAAGGGAATGCTGTTTAATTTCAGGGAACCTTAAAAATGTTCGGGGACCTTGTTTTAATTGCAAGGCCTTTTTGTTGCAGTTTAATGAACTTGAATAATTTGGGAATTTCATGCATGTTCAGGAAACTTCATAAAACTAGAGAGAGAGCTTCGAAGACAATCAGTGAAGTTTTGGGAATTACGTAGTAATTCAAGGAACCTTGTTTTACATAACTGAAGTGAAGCTCTGCTAAATTTGTAGAATTTCAGGGATTTTCGAACAACCTCAAAACAAACCGTTTAAGTCCAGCAAACTTTAGAGAACATTTGGGATCTTCGTATCATTTAGGGGAACTTAGAAGCACTTTGTCACAGATCTTGCTTAAAAATTCTCCAAAAACTTTTTAGAAGTTTTGGGAACTGCATTTGATTTCAGGAACCTTTCCAGATGTTCAGGAATATTTGTAGAATAGCTTGAGGGTATTTTCCGAAGCTCGAAGACGTTGATAGCTGTTCTTGAATAATTTAGGGAGTTCCGTACATGTTCAGGAAATTTCATAGAACTTCAGGGAACATTTATTTAGAAGATTTTCAGCCGTAGGCTAGTTGATCTCCGTAAAGGGTGGGAAGCTTTAGAAAGAGGTCCCCCAGCCACATTGCTTGAGTATCATACTATTTCAACCTTTGATAATCTACTTAGCTAAACATATAAACAGCTAGTACAATAACACAGTAAACATGTCCACTGTAGGAGGTCTTTGGGAGCCCAGCGGGGGTGTCCGGACGGCCGAAAGAATCTATGATGCTAAATCCTGCAGTATAGCTTCGCCGCCTTCAAAAAGCGCAGTACAGCTGCTTGAGTTGAGGGCACGTCTGCTAGCGTGTCCCGTACGCTGGCAGGCAGACCGTGGAGGCAACGAAGGTACTCGAATTGTGGACATACGCATAACACGTGCTCCACCGTCGAAGGAATACGGCAGAATTCACAGGTCTTCCTGAAGGGTCCTCCGCTGAAATCCAGTGAGATTAGAGAGTGTCCTGTCCGGAGTCTGGAAAAAAATCCTCTGATCTCGCAGGTTTGCAAGGTCCGTCCACTCTCCGATGTCGCCTTTAGTTTTTCTAATAAACGGAAGTCTGGCACTGGACCATTCCGTTGGCCACGCTGTCCACACTGTGCAAGTGATCCATCTCTTCACGTCCTGCAACGGTACCTTGTGCGGGTACCGAAGACCCGATGGGCCTGACCCGGCTAGGTTGTCCGCCTCGATGTTCCCTGGGATCCCGCAGTTTCCGGGAATCCATCCGTGTGTAGTGTTAGGTGGCGCAGTCTTCAAGATGCCCTGAATCCAGGGGTGGACCGGGACTTCCGACGAAAGGGCCTGAATAACACTGTGGGAGTCCGACAGGATCAGGATTGGGCGATTCCCATTCAGACTCCAGCTCTCGATCTTGACCCGTCCGTGTAACGATGCATGTAGTTTGGATACAATCCGGTCAGCTCTGCTACCGATCTCCTAAGGACTACGGAATTGTCTCCGGCTCTGAACTTCTCCTTTATCCAGCTGTCGATGTTTGGTGCGGGAGATTGTCAACTCTTATCTCCGTACCAGTGAATCTTGGCCACTGGGGGGAGCTCTGCGTTGGCGATTGTACGGAGAACTCTGTCCTCCTCGCTGAGGAGGCAGATTCTGTCGTTTGCGGCGGTATTTGCTGATAATGCAGCGGTTTTGTTGGCAATGGCTGCGTAGATACAGTACCGGAAAGGGAGAGTGCCAGCTTCGACACAGCTGGCATCGGCTGGCGTCGAGGGTAGGAGACCGAAGATGATGCGCGTATAGCGATGCAGGTCAGCTCCAGTCCATACATCAGCCGGCTGTCTACGATGGCCCGGGCAACACGGAAACGTACTTCTCTGTTGTTGGACCGGTGGGGACGAGAGATTGTGCGGAAGAGGTGCGACAGCTGGCCTTGACCCCTTGCAGGTGCTGGTCGAAACTCAGCGACCGGTCAATGACAACCCCCAACAGTTTCACAGATTCTTCAATGGGATAGCTTGATTACCGATCTTTATGGAAGGTCCGCATACCCGATGTCGGTACTGGAAAACGTGGCACCTAACGCTCTTTCCAGCAGACAGCTGAAAACCTTTCCAAGCGGCCCATCTGGTTACAGCGGAAACACCTGCTTGGGCTCTAATCCTCGTTCGTCCCGGAGTTTTAACCTGTGGCTACGATTAGCACGTCGTCTGCGTACACGAAAATTTAGATGTTCGCTGGTAACCGCTCGACGACACTGTTCATAGCTACCAGGAACAAAGTGAGAGCGATCACTGAATCTTAGGGAACGCCAGTTTCCTCGCAGAAAGTGTGGGATTTGGTATTACCTACCGAGACTCGGAAGGATCTGCTAGTCAGGAAAATTTGTACGAAATGGATGATATGGCCGCTAAGGCTGAAGGCTTTCGCAATGTCCAGGGAAACCAACTCCGTATGGAGACCATTATCCTTGGCATCCTTGAGGAGCTCTCCTAGCGTCGCAAAATACGTGGATGTACCGTGGCCTTGCCGGAATGCGTGATGGCGATGGTCTAGAAAGCCGCCAGACTCGAGAAACTGCTTCAGTCGTCGGTTGACCATCCGCTCGAATGGGTCGGAACTTTGCCACGTCCCGTGTCGGCTCGTTTGTTTTGGGGATGGGGACAACCAAGCTCTCCCTCCAATGCTCTGGATACGAGTCTGTCTGCCAAAGCTGGTTGAAGAGTTCCAGCATTTTTACTTTACCCGGGATATGCAAGTTCTTGAGCAGCGGGTAGCCAATGTCGTCTGAGCCGGCTGATTTCCCGTTGCTTCTACTAAGCGCGAACTGAAGCTCCTGCCAGGTGAAATCGTGGTTGATCCTCAGGTTGTTCGTGTCCGGAGAAACTCGAAAACTACTTACGGACGAAGTCGATGGGTTTGCTAACCGTTGAAAGGTCGTCTCGCAGAGAGGTCAGCGAAATAGTCGCCAAGCTTATCTGCAACGATTGCGGGGTCGGAGACTGCAGCGCCGTCTACCTGCCTGTATATGCAGTGTGGCCGTACGGCGCTTGCCACTGAGGGCGTTGACCTTACCCCAGAGCTCCGCCGAAGACTGTGAGGCATTTATACTTTCAAGGAAGTCCGTCCAACTGGATCGTTTGGCATCTCGGACCAATTGGCGACACTGGTTGTGCCGTTCTCGATAGATACAGAGCGCGTTTTCCCTATCCGGATCATCTATGGGAAGCCGTTTGATTCGTCGAAGGACTTTTCGCCAGGCCTTAACTGTCTTCTTCATTTCCTCGCCCCGGAATGCTGCTGGTTTTCGGGATGGTTGCTGACGCAGCTGCGTTTATTGCTTCAGTGAGACTCTCGACTCTCGATGCTGTCAGGGTTACGTTGTTGAAGGAGCGACTGGAAGGTTTCACCGTAACTCTCCCAATCGGCTTCGTCATAGCACCACCAAGGTCACCGCGTTTCTGCCGGTATAGCGGCGGCAAAGAGTTGCACCTGAACCGGGTAATGATCGCTACCGTAGAGGTCCGGATTGACGCTCCACTGCATTCTTCCAGCGAGGGAACGACTAACAGCAGTTACATCGATTGCCGTGGTGTGCCGTCCATTGAAGAAGGTAGGCGATCCGTCATTAAGGATGATCATATCCTCCCTTTCGAACTTGTCTACCAGTGTGGAACCCCTTGAGTCGAATCGGGGGCACCCCCAGCTAGAGTGATGCGCGTTCAAGTCATCCAAAAATATACGCGGTTCAGGTCGGTTATCGAAGATGCTGTCGATTTGACCGTTGAGGTTTGCTAATCTCCCACAAGGCAGGTATGCGCATGCTATTGCGATGTTGGCTGGTTCCTCCAAGCAAACTCCCAAAATGGGAAGCTCTAAGTCAAGGTCGATAAATCAAATGTAGAAGATCAGGGAACTTAGTAGAAATTCATCGAAATTTGTAGAAGTCCAGTGATTGTGTGTTACATTCGCGTTAACATTGTGTCCGCTAAAAGTTATTTTTAATTCGTTTGACTGTAGTTTAATCGTTTTTTCAACGTTGACGTATTATCTGGACCTGCTTTCATCGCTAATTTTTTTTTTTTTTTTTTTTTATATCTTTATTAAGGAGACTTTTAGCCGTTGGCTGGCTTGTCTCCGAATACCCCAGAGGGGGGTATTCCTAGAGGAAAAGGGGGTTTACAGAGTTTTTAGAATGTACAGAGTTTTGGTTTTTGAAACTTATGTTTCCTGTCTCAGCTAGCTGTCAAATTTTCATTTCAAAGGCTGTCTAAAGGACCCCGGTAGAGCCCCACCGGCAGAGGCTGCCAGGTGAATCTGGCAGCTGCTACCGGCAGGGGTTGCCGGGCCTGCTATCAAAATAGTATTTTTCGTGTTATAGTGACTAAATTCAGGACCCCGGTAGAGCCCCACCGGCAGAAACTGCCAGGTGACCCTGGCAGCCGCTGCCGGCAGGGTTGCCGGGCCTGCTGTCAATATCGTATTTTAAATATTTTTGTAGATTCCTGCTTCCTTCGTAAAGCAGATGAGTTGGATTTCCGCTGCCGGGTCGTTTTGGAGGACGTCCCGAATGTTGTCGGCCATACCGTATAACTCCCGTGATCCGTGGAAACACGGGCAGTTGATAAGGATGTGCTCAACAGTCATCGTTGTTCGGCACGCGTCGCATCTCCTCCGGAAGCCTCCATCGCTGCTGCTTCCCATGTTGTGAGTAATCCGGGTGTGACCGGTTCGAAGTCTGGAGAGTATTCTCTGTTCCGCGTAACTTTTGGTGTCCGTCCATGGGGCCGTTTCCCCTTTGACCTTTCTAATGAAAAGCTCTTGGTTGCTGTTCCATTCGTTGCCCCATGCTGACCTGATGGTAGATTTTATCCAGACTTTCAGGTCTTGTCTGGGGACCGACTTGTGGGCAAGACGGCCGCTTCGTCCGATGGCCACGAGGTGGTCGGCTTCAATGTTACCGGCGATTCCGCAGTGGCCCGGTATCCATATGAAGGTGGTGCCGGGTTGTGTGTGCTTCTGGATGGCCTGAATCCACGGGTGGCGTGCAGTGGAAGATTCCAATGCAGCCAGAGCGCTGGCGGAGTCCGTGAGTATGCATAGAGGGGAGGAGGATGGTAGGGAGGCCGCGTAATGTAGGGCTGCTGCTTCTGCTGAGAAGACCGAGCATTGGTCCGGGAGTTTCCAGAAATGGGATGTTCGGCCATCAGTTACTCCAAAACCTACTCGGCCCCTAGCCTTCGATCCGTCGGTGTATCGGAGTTGGTGGTTATGGTACATCGTTCTCAGTCGCTCGGTGAGGCAGGTTCTCATTTCCGCCGAGTTGTCCCCTGCTCTAAATCGGTTGGCCATGGTTCTATCTGATCGGATGGGGGAGGCATCCCACTCCCTGGCTCCGACCCAGTGGAGTTTAGACACCGGAGGGAGCTCCTGGTGGTGGTGGATTTGATTTGTGAATTTGCTGTTTTGGACGATTCCGAAGGATTCAACCACATTCCTGTATTCGGGCTAACGCTATCATTTGTTGCTGTTCACCGAGTTTTGTTTTGTTCGCTGTAAGGATGGAGAAAAAACAATGCGGAGAATGCCAGTTGGAAATCAACGAAATCGATCCGTTGCGCTGCGGCTTTTGTGAGGTTTACTTCCACATCAGCATGCAATGTTGTGGTTTCAACCTCAGTCGTGCGAGCAAAGACCTATTCTCGCAAGGCAAGGCTGTATTCGTTTGTTCAAATTGCCGGGATAAAATGAATGGCAGAAGTGTGAAACAGTATTTTACTGATGAGCTCACACACGACACGACTCCGTCACCTGATGGCTTACCGGCTCAGGTTCAACAACTGTTCAACTTGGTGGAATCGCTGAGTGATAAAGTTGACAAGTGCATTTCCATGGATATTCCTGCTGAGCGACCATCGAATCGATCAAGGAAGGAAAATGCCTGGCCCAGACTTGGTGTTAAACGTCGTCGTGGTAATGAAGGTGGACCGATTGGCACTTCTTCTGTGCGTGGGACCAATGCAATTGATCTCAGTTACTTGTCTGTACCGTGTCTAACATCACCGATCTCCCCTCCAAAGTTCTGGCTCTACCTGTCCGGCTTACACCCGTTAATAACTGCTGAGGACATTCAAAAAATTACTTCTCGCTGCTTGGATCTAACAACACCTGCTGACGTCGTGCGTCTCGTTCCCAAGGAAGTGGATATGACGAAGCTGACTTTCATTTCCTTCAAAGTTGGCTTGGATCCATCGCTGAAAGAACTAGCTCTCGACGCTTCTACGTGGCCTGATGGGATATTATTCCGTGAATTCACCGACTACCCAAAAAACCAGTCTGGATCCAACGGAAATCCACTGACAAATACTTAAGGCTCTATCATGTGGACGGTGGAAACCCTAGGGTTAGCACCATTATCAATAATCATTCTTTGCGACATTCTGTGGACGGTGGAAACCCTAGGGTTTCCACCAGAGGTGAGTATCTGTACCATTCACCAAATATTCCCGCGCCAAATATTTCCATGTTGCAGAACACGACCCGTGACGCTAGTCGTTTATGGGTTTATTACCAAAACGTGCGTGGACTGCGCACCAAGATCGACGACTTTTACTGCAACGTCCTGGAGTGCAATTTTGACGTCATCATTTTAATCGAGACGGGGCTTAACGAGGCTATCAATTCGACGCAGCTTTTCGGAAGCAACTACAATGTGTACCGATGTGACCGAAGCCATATAAACAGCAGCAAATCTCGTTTCGGAGGGGTTCTAATTGCCGTACATCATCGTTTCATCAGTAGCAGTGTCGTTGCAACGAGCGGAGAAACGATAGAACAAGTGTGTGTATCGACGAGGATTGGATCCAAGCGACTATTGCTGTGTGCAATTTACGTTCCTCCAGACAAGAGCAAGGAATTTGAATGGGCATATTGAATCGATCCAAGAGCTTTGTAACAGAGGCTCTGACAGCGATTGGTTGTTGGTATGCGGTGACTACAATCAACCTGGGATATCCTGGAGTTGGGCTGATGGCGAGATTCGACCTGTGAACTCTGTTCCTTTAACAGTTGCTAGCTCATTCTTGATTGATGGCATGGATTTCCACAACCTGCATCAGAGAAATCTCGAGCGCAACCACTTAGGACGTATCCTGGATTTGTTCTTTTGCCATACGGACTTTCCAGTGGAAATCTCGAGATCTGTTTCACCACTCTTGCCAGTTGATCTTCATCATCCGCCACTAGTCGTCTGCTTACCATCTCTAGTTGATGACGGTGCACTGCTGCTGAATGCGAGTGATGAGCTTGCGTTAGACTATAGCAAGATTGATTTCGATGTTCTAAAGGACTTCCTTTCCGTCACTGACTGGGATCTTCTTTTCAATGGACTGAATGCTGATGAAATGGCTGAAACGTTGTGTGCTGTGCTAAATAATTGGATGGATACAAACGTACCGATTCGTCGGCCTGCTGTTTCTCCTGCGTGGAGCACCGCTTTGCTACGAAAACTAAAACGAAAAAGAAATGCTTCGCAACGTAGACTTCGGCGATACCGTTCCCTGGCAAATAAGCGTAGTTTTCACTTGGCGTGTAACGAGTACCGTAATCGCGGGGAGAAATGTGAGCTTTTTGCTGCTCATTTTTCGTCGGTTTTTGCCGCAGAATCCATCACCTCGACTGAACTTGTCTCGGCTGTTTCGGATGTGCCTTCAAACCTTGTTGACATAAACACTTTTGAAATAACGCCCGTTATGGTAACTAATGCCGCCAAGAAAATGAAATGTACCTTCTCGCCTGGACCAGATGGCATTCTTTCTGCAGTATGTTGTCGTACCATTGGAGCGCTTGTTGAACCGCTTTGCAGAATCTTCAACAAATCTTTTGTAGAGTCGAAATTTCCTGCAATCTGGAAAGAGTCATTTATGGTTCCGGTACACAAGAAAGGAGATAAACGTGACGTTAAAAACTACAGAGGAATTACTAATCTCTCTGCAGCATCAAAACTGTTTGAGATAATTGTGAGTGGTTTCATTCTTGAGCACACCAAATGCTATATCTCTAGTGACCAACATGGTATCATGCCTGGACGATCGGTTACCACAAATCTTCTAGATTTTACCACGACATGTTTTGAGCAACTGGAAAATGGGGCACAAATAGACGTCATCTACACTGATCTAAAAGCAGCGTTTGATACGATCAACCATGACATTATGTTGGCAAAGCTATCCAAACTCGGTGCGTCGGACCGTTTGACTTCGTGGTTGTGCTCCTACTTAACTGACAGGTCTCTGCGAGTGAAACTTGATTCCAGTACTTCCTCGTATTTCACGAACTCGTCAGGTGTACCACAGGGTAGCAATCTTGGCCCGTTGCTGTTTGTGTTGTACATCAACGACGCACTTCTTCTACTTGGAGATGGCCTGTAAACTTGCGTATGCCGATGACCTAAAGCTGTACTTCGTGGTGCGGACTGCTGAGGATTGCATTCGTCTTCAATCGGTATTGGATCTGTTCGTTGATTGGTGTCGTCGGAATAAGCTTACCCTCAGCATTCCTAAATGTATGGTAATGTCGTATTACCGCATCAGGCAGCCGATTGTTTTGACTATGCCATCAACGGTGTGGTTCTTCAAAGAACCGACCAGTTCAGCGATCTTGGTGTTCTACTGGACCATAAGTTGACGTTCAACCTCCACCGCTCTGCTCTGATCATAAAGGCGAATCGCCAGCTAGGTTTTGTGTCGAAAATATCGAAGGTCTTCATTGACCCACACTGCCTGAAAGCTCTCTATTGCTCACTTGTGCGACCAATTCTGGAAAATGCCTCCTTGGTCTGGTTTCCTCATCAGTTGACTTGGAGCTTGAGGATCGAAAGTGATCAGCGCAAGTTTATCAGGATAGCATTACGTAATCTACCATGGCTTGATCCGCAAAATCTCCTGCCGTATTCTGATCGCTGCAATCTGCTGAGCTTGGATACTCTGGAATGCCGACGGAAAAATCAGCAAGCAGTTTTTGTTGCCAAGCTATTGAATGGTGAGGTCGACTGCTCGAGGCTTCTCTCGCTGTTGGATATCCAAGTACCACCGAGAACATTACGAAGTGGTACCCTTCTCCAACCGCGGTACCATCGAACGGTGTTCGGGTACAACGAACCACTAACAACTATGATGCGTACGTTTACGGCTGTCGAAGAATTATTCGAATTTGGGGAATCTTCATCTCGCTTTTTGGCACGGATTAGAAACACTTGAATTGTTTTAGCTTTAAGGTTGTTTCATGTAGATAATAGTTCGATGAATAAAATTAAATAATAATAATAATAAATAATAATAATATTTGTATATGTTTAGTGCATTAAGTAGCAATTCAAGGAACTTCGTTTTACATCATTGGAGTACAGGGAATGTTGTAAAAGAAATTGAGCTTGTTAGCTTCTTTAAACAGATACAATTTTAAATTTGTAAAATAGTTTCAGATGCCATAGATCTAGAACTGCAAGTTTCCAATTGGACCCCTCGTTTCCTATTCGTATTCAACTGCCACCAACCAGACAGGTCATGTTTGGTCTGCTGAATGATACCGCTTCCACTATAAATTATATTCGTGTCCTCCTGAACTTATCACACACACACACACACATAGAGCACCCACCCCGATCCCGTATTTATGTCTCTACATGCAGCCCCAATATCTCATCCTTCTCCAGACTCCCACCTTCCAAACACACCCGTCTCCTCGGAGGGTCCTTTGAGTACTCATAAAAGCCCTCATCGTTTGTATTAATTGCGTTTTGGTGTGCCTGTAGTTATATTCGGTTTTTTATTTTATTCAATAAATAATTAATTCCGCAGCCTGTCCCCTTGTCGCACTATGGACGCGTGTACAATTTGCGAACAGAAATGATACCATTTACGAACTGTTGTCATCGTTTATTGCCAACATTTATGACTTCGCTATGACTATGTATGATCAACCATCACTACCCGCGACTGTCGACCGGCTGACCGACAGCATCGTCATCGTCAACGCAACCACCGACCTCAACCCGAAAACTTTGCGAGTGAACCCTACTGATAGTGATTGAGTTGGGAAAATCGAATTTCCCAATCTTCTGCGAGTGAAAACAAAAAAATGCTGTCCTTTGATCGACCGATTAATAATGGCGAATGATTATTTTCAGGAAAAGCAATGCGATAATTGTGGTGATATTTAGTGATTGATAGAAAATTGATCGAAACGAGTCTTGAAAGTGCTAAGGTGCTAGGAAATGAGTGCAAAAGAATGAGGTGTGCATAAATTGAGTGCTCTGTAAAAGTGCGACGGTAAAATTTTTTGGATACCTTGTC